AAAAATATATATATTTTTATTGATTTCAGAAAGGAAGGGGAAGGGAAAGAGAGATCGACACATTAATGATGAGAGAGAATCACTTATTGGCTGCTTCCTGCATGCCCCACACTGGGGATCGAGCCCGCAACCTAGGCATGTGCCCTGACCAGGAATCGAACCGTGACCTCTTGGTTCATAGGTCGACGTTCAACCACTGTGCAATACTGGCTGGGCAATCCATAAACTCATAATCACACAAAATTCTCTAGGACAAATGACTCAGTGCCTTTAACAAATAAATGCAAAGAAAGGCCCAGCCGGCATGGCTTAGTGGTTGAACGTCAACCTATGAACCACGAGGTCACGGTTTGATTCCTGGTCAGGGCACATGCCCAGGTTGTGGGCTGGGTCCCTACTATAGGGCATGTGGGAGGCAGCTGATCAATGATTCTCTCTCATCATTCATGTGTCTATCTATTTCTCCCTCTCTCTTCCTCTCTGAAATCAATAAAAATATATTTTAAAAAATAAATTGCAAGGAAAGAAAAGAGGGGAACCTGTAGAATTCAAGAGACTTAAGAGACTTATCAATTAACAGCCATGAATGGGTGGACCTTATCTGCACTTGGAAAGAACAACCTATAAAAACAATTCATGAATTAATTAGGGATATTTCAACAGTGATGGAATATCTGATGATATTAAGAGATGATTGTGAACATGTGTTTCGGCATGATAATGGGATTATGGCTATTTTTAAAAGAGCCCTTTTTTTTTTAAGGGAGGGCAAGAAAGGGGATGGATATAGATGGAAAGGTTTGACTAGGAGTTTACAGTCATGGAAACTGGTGATGGGTCCATGATGATGCATCATAGCAATTCCTCTATAAAAACAAACAAATATACCTTCATCAGTAAGGTGACCTACAGGCTTACAAATATTTAGGTGATCTTATTAAAATTCAATTTAACTTTCTCTAATTGATCTGCTTTACATCATATGCCCAGCTATATAATCACTGGCTATGAAACATGGGCAAATTAATTCATCAACACTAAATTACCCTGACTTTGAGGCAATACCATATGGCAACTGAGAGCAGAGAAACTGTCAGTGCTGTCATTTGCATCTCTAGAACACTCAGCAATTGTATTTCTAGTTCTCAGAGCCTCAGCTTTCTCCCCTGTAGAATGGGGAAGGGGAGTAAATGAGATTTTTATGTGTGCAGTGTTGGCCCAGGGGCAGCAAACTGCAGTCACTATTATGACCAGGGGCAGCAATATCAGAAGAATGTAGAGTAGGGTCTTATTCATATAAAAAATTATGTTTCTTCAGGCATTGTAGAAAGATGCCTGGAATATTAGAAATAGAGAACAAAGATAAGCCCATGGGAATCATTCATTCATTCAACAAATACCACTGAGTGCCTCGCGTGTGCAAGCGCAGTGGGCCTATGGAGCAGAGGATGAGTCAGCTCCTGCCCTCCTGGGGCTGACGGGGTAGAGGAATGCAGACATGTTGAGACAGGGGAAACCAGGGGGTCAAGATTTCCTTAGGGGAGGTCCAGGGAGACGGGATCTGAAGGACACAGGAGAATGAGCCAGGCTGGATGTGGGGAGGGAGGCAGAGAGTAGGGAGAGAAAAAGGAGAAAGCATTCCAAGCTGCTAAGGGAAGAGCAAGTGCAAAGGCCCGGGACAAAAAGGAACAACTCCAGGATCTGAAGGATTGCCAAGTCCAGAGGGGACAGATCAAGGTAGAGCAGTGAGTGGCTGCAGCAGGGACAGTGGTTGGTCCACAGGAAAAAAAACCTCAGTATCGTGCCCTGCAAAGTGGCATCTGCCAGTTTCAGCTGCAGTCTGTTGCTAGGGGTGGAATATGTTTTTCTGGTTTCCTCTCACAGCCGGGGGCGGCTGACTTTGATGTGGAGGTAGTGCACACACCATGCATGCAAGTTACCTGAGTGGGCTGGATACCTGGAGGAAGAGCCACAGCTGCCTGGGAGGATGTGCTGACGCCTCCAACTTTGCTCTGCCACAGTGGGAACCTTTCAAGTCCGCACCTTGTGGTTTCTCCTGCAGGAATGCCAGGTTTATGATGCATCTGTTCCCTTCACTGTTTTGATCTCCTCCCTGTGCCCCCACCCAGCTCAGGACCTTTCATTTCATGGCAGATTTAGTGAGGCCACTGGTTCCTAGCTGAGTGTGGTGACATGTGATACTGAAGGGTCTGTCTTCATGAGAGAGAGAGAAAGTGGACGGATGGTTCTGGTCCCAGGAGAAAAGCACCTCCCAGCGAACAAGTCTCGCAGATGTCATTGACTTGGCCTCTCCCTTCAAAGGCCTTTATTTGTTCCTCATTGACGATAATAAAGGAGAGCCCACCTGTTGCAATGCCCTCATCTGAAAGATGAAAACACGGAGGCCAGTGTTTTTGATCTCCTCCCTGTGCCCCCACCCAACTCAGGCCCTTTCATTATCCCAACACCAGAAACCTGCACAACATTATGATGTGTTCCCAACCAGACCATCAGCAGTGCCTCGTATCCCAGTAGTTAAGAGCTCAAATTTGGAGTCCAAATTTGCCTCTTGGCTCCATCACTTACTGTGGTACAATCTTGCACAAATGGCTCAACCTCTCCACGCCTCAGTTTCTTCATCTGTGAAATGGAGATAAAAATGTACACAGCTTAGGATTGTTAATGTAAATCTACTTCTGATCCTATCACTTCTTTATTCCGTGTTTATCTACTAATCCCAGGTTCCCCCCACCCCCACCCCGAAGGGCAGGACTCTGCCTGCCTTGTTCACAGCGGTGCCCTCAGTACCGAACATTTCCTCGCACAGGGTACATGGTGAGCAAGTACATGTGATAACAAAGGCCCTCGGCACAGTGCTTGGCACTGGCAGGCAGCCATCATTATGAACAGAGGAAGGCCATTATTGATGATGAAAAAGCAGGTTTTAAAACTACCCAATAACCAGGAACTGAAAAAATAAACTAGGTATTTTAGTGGGCCTGCCGTCGGTGGCTTTTCTGGGGCAAAGTCCCCAGGCCCCCGCCAGGCAGGACCAGGCCCCCACAAGCCTGGGAGCCAACTTGCTCCAGGAGATAAAAATGTATACAGCTTAGGACTGTTAATGTAAATCTACTTCTGATCCTATCACTTCTTTATTCCGTGTTTATCTACTAATCCCAGGTTCCCCCCACCCCCACCCCGAAGGGCAGGACTCTGCCTGCCTTGTTCACAGCGGTGCCCTCAGTACCGAACATTTCCTCGCACAGGGTACATGGTGAGCAAGTACATGTGATAACAGTAACAAAGCCCTCTGACAGCCCCAGAGACAGTGGTCTCTGCCCACTGTCCTCTCTCAAGGACGTCATCCCCCAGACAAAGGACTCCTTCCCTGGGGCTTCAAAATCCCTCTCCTGTGACCAGAGAGGGCAGGGAGAAAGGCGCAGGTCGCCCAGTGTGCAAGGGGTCTGACGGCAGGACTGCTAGATGGAATGCCCCAGGTCAGCTAAATTTGAATTTCAGAACAATACATTATCTGTAAAAGTATGTCCCGGAGCCCAGCCCGTGTGGCTCAGTGTTTGAGCGTCCATCCATGACTCAGGAGGTCCCGATTCCATTCCCCGTCAGGGCACATGTCCCGGTTGTGGACTCAGTCCCCAGTGGGGGGCTTGCAAGAGGCAGCCATCAATGATTCTCTCTCATCACTGATGTTTTTACTTTTCTCTACCTCTCCCTTCCTCTCTTTGAAAGCAATAAAAACATTTTTTTTAAATAAAAAGCATGTCCTAGACTCTAGTGATGGCGAACCTATGACACACGTGTCAGAGGTGACATGCGAACTCATTTTTTTGGTTGATTTTTCTTTGTTAAATGGCATTTAAATATATAAAATAAATATCAAAAATATGTCTTTGTTTTACTATGGTTGCAAATATCAAAAAATGTCTATATGTGACACGGCACCAGAGTTAAGTTAGGGTTTTTCAAAATGCTGACACGCCGAGATCAAAAGGTTCGCCATCACTGTCCTAGAGATTACATGAGATCTAGTTACCCTAAAAAAAAGAAAAAGCAAAGTATTTGGTGTTGATCTGGGATTCGAAATTATCTGAATGTCCTGTATTTTAATTTGCTAAACGTTGACCCAGGCCTGCCTGCACTTGGGGACCTCACCTGCAAACCTGCCCTGGGCGCCCTAACCAGTTTGGCTCCGTGGATAGAGCGTTGGCCTGAGGACTGACGGGCCCAGGTTCGATTCCCGTCAAGGGCATGTACCTTGGTTTTCGGCACATCCCTAGTGGGGAGTGTGCAGGAGGCAGCTAATCGATGTTTCTCTCTCATCAATGTTTCTAACTCTCTATCCCTCTCCCTTCCTCTCTGTAAAAAAATAAAATATATTAAAAACAACAACAACAACAACAAAAACCTGCCCTGGGCCCAGGAGAAGCCTTCCGGGTGGTCAGGAGACAACAGAGAGAGGCTGGGTGCACCGGGCTCTGCAAGCCCGCGCTTCCTACATCGGCGTCCTGAGGGCAGGAACTTGGTTTGCTCTGTGCACAGCTGAGCCCGGTGCCTCGCACTGCATCTGCCACACAGCTGGGCTGCCATAACTATGTGCTATAATGACAAATCTCTGGTACTATTTCCCTAAACAGGCCAACAAAACAACAAAAACCCACACAACGATTTCAATGAAATCTAGGTCCAACATCCCGAGCAGACCTTGCTGGTTCCCGCTGCTGGCCGGACGGCGCTCCAGGAAGGACCCAACACTCCCCACCTCAGGGTGTGGCCCGGCCTGACTGTCCTGCGGGCGGGCACACGCCACTCAAAGGCGGGTGCTATGCGCATGCGCCCGTACAGCCCGCCTGGGGGCATAAAGTGTGCGCATGTGCAGGAGGCCTCGACCGGAAAGCGCAGGAAAGGGCCAGCCCCACGCGCGCGCGCGCTTCCCACGCAGGGAGGAGCCATTTGAGGGCCAGTTGGGGCTTTTCATTGGCGTCCGTCTCCATGGCCTTTGCGCCCATGGGGCCGGAGGCCTCATTTTTCGAGGTTTTGGACCAGCACAGGGCTTCCCTGCTGGCCGCCCTGAAGAGAGGTGGCGGGGAGCCCGCAGGCAGGGGGACACACCTGGCCTCCAGGTACAAGGGTTCTGCTGGGGCGCATGCACCGGAGACGTGGAAAGCGGGAAGGTTCCATGGCTGCCGGGGGCGCGAGGTGCTCTGTAGGGAAATGCCCCGTTCCACCTTCCGGTCTTTCCTGTTTAGGCCAAAGGCTGCCTCTCGGGTATTGAGGCCACAGGGCAGGGGGGGGCACGGGAGGGGGGCCTTGGCCTGGGGCCAGCCCAGAACCCCCGAGAAGGTGCCTTCCTTAGCGCTCCTTCCCTTTTCAGCTTTTAATTCTTATTTTGAACTCCCAAAGCCTAGTGACCACGCCCCCCGGGCCTTCTAGAATGTTCCCACTCCGGACCACTCTGGGAGCACCCCCACCGGGCTTCTGGGTCTCCCGAGATCCTCTGGGTCGGGAAGTTCAGGGCACAGTTAAGGAAGAAAACTTGGGGGGATAAAGATTTTCACCTCCGTTTTCAGGATTTTCTTTCTAAAAGCAAGTGAGAAAATAAATGTGGTGAATTCTCACTCTAAGTGTGTTTTATAAAAGTGAACAAGGAAGCCAACACGTTTTAAGTGTTTTATAGCAAAACGACAGTTTTCTTGGAAGTGAAGAAAGGGTACATATTTTAAATGATTTTAATATCAATAAAGCTCAGAGTGTGGTGCTGATAAGATCAATTAAAGCGATCCTGCAGCCACCCAACTTGGAATTAACTACAGAAAATATGTTTGTTATTGCCAACTTTTACTTCAAATGCGCTGTTGTTTTGCTTCCTTGATCTGCTTTTCTGGTTTATCAGCAGAGTTTTTCAGCCCAAGCAAATGGCTGGTGTTTTTTTGTTTTTTGTGGGGTTTTTTGGTAAGCCAAACCAACTATCAAAAAAAAAAAAACAACACCAAAACACACACACACACACACACACAAGAAAGAAAGAAAAGCCCACAAGCAAACCATTTTTTACATAAGGATTTAGTTTGAGGGAGAATTTATGAGGATGGGGGAAGTAGGGAGTGGAAGTCCCTTGTTTACATTTAAGATGTAATTTAATCTGATTATCTCAGAGTTGGTCACAGTATTGACCTGCAACTTTTTTTTCAAACTGGAAAAAATTAATGAGATATTTGAGTCAGTTTTTACCTGTCAAGATTAGAAAATATTAAATGTTTTAAAATTTGTTTTCTGATACTTGCATTTCCGAAGACAGCAAGTTCCTATAGAAATTAGAATTATCTACGTTTTGCCCATTGGCTAGATTTTATTTTCCATCCTAGGCAATATGCTAACTGTGCTTGTAACTGAACAGCGTTTTTTTGAAGCTGATGGTGTGTGAAATTAAAAGTCAGCTGACAGAAAACTGCTGTAAAGTTTGCTATAAAGTGGTGTAAGAGTTGCCAAGTCTTTTTGTAGTAGTGATTAAAACTTTTTTTTCTTCTTAGTATCACTGAAATTCAAATGGGCTGACCTAAGGCACGAGATCAATTAGGGAAATACGCTACAAAAAGAAGTGTTTCTTTTGAAATACTTTTGCACTGCAGTTTTGGGAAAAAATTTAAAATCAAAGTCAATATGACATCATTTTTAATTGAAACAGTATTATTTTAAGCCAGTGAATTTGTATTTAAGTAAGTTAACATGAAAAGTAGATTAAAATCCTATATAATAAAAGGCTAATATGGAAATTGTCCCCTCGACCAGATCTACTGGGAGTTCAACCAGAAGTTCAACCAGGGGGTGGGGCCGGCCAGCGGCCAAACGCCTGTGTCCCCTCCCCCCACCCCACCAGCCCAGCCCGAATGGCCCTGATCCGGCGGGCCGGCTGGACCCCACCGGAGCACGAATTTGTGCACCGGGCCTATAGTATAAGTTGTATTGTCTAGTCATTAATCTAAAAGTGAGATACTACTTCAGTAGGTAATTGAAAAGTAAAATTACAAGCAAATGAGTTTCTCTTAAGTAACCACTATAAGTAATGTTGTTGTTTTAATGCAGTACTGACATTAGAATTTAGTGAGAGATGTCATTATTGACATGGGTTACCTAGTCTTCAAAAACAACCAATGAAACAAAAAATGATTTCCATGTTGATCTGGGGAAATGTTACATATTGTAAAGGCGTAATTTAGAATTAAGATTGAATCATAGTGTGTTTATTGTTTCAGTTCTGAGGTTCTTGCATCTATAGAAAAGATTATCCAAGACGTAATCACAAGCTTGGCAAGAAACGAAGCACCTGCATTCACGATAGACAACAGATCAAGCTGGGAAAATATAAAGTGGGCATTTTGCATTTTAAAATTTGTAAATGTCATTATTTGAATTTATTGAAGTTAGAGGTCTAGTCAGATTTCATTTTTTTGTTGCTTTTACCATGCCAAAGAGGATATGAGGAAGTTTACAAAATACATACCATTTAGGCAGGTTATATAAATTAGAAGTAGGAGTGAAAGATAAGGCAAAAGGAAAATAATGCTAGGAAGAAAGAATGGAGCTCTGAAAGAGGTTAGAGTTCAAAATGCATATGATAAAGTCTTACAGTTCTGCTAAAAATAGGCTCCAAACTGAGATCTAAGCTTCCCAGCACTCGAAGGGGGCAATTCTCATCTATATTGAGAAAGTAAACCACTTGTGCAGGGGACCTACAACTAATCCTGATACGGAGACCAAAATAAATGTGTCCTCAACATAGAGCATGTTTCAAAGGCTCTTTCTCCCAACAGATCTTCCCCTGCTAAGGCATGTGTCCCAGTGGGTAAAATCAGCAAAGAGCTTTATTGAAATCCTGGAACCTAGATACATAGTTTGTTTTTTTGAGGTCCTCAGCCTGTAGAATCTTTCCACTAAGTAATGAAAAACACTACAAAAATAGTTATCAATGAGTTATAGAAACAGAATAAAAGTAATTTTGAGGCCCAGTGTCACTATTATTTTATAATTAATATAATTAATATAAAATGTAAGCTTTTGAATCATATTTTGCAGAGTAAGAAGCCCCCTGACAACCGGCCTATTTGCCTGATGCTTTCTGCCCCCTTTAGGACAGGCTTGGTAGTTCAATTTAACAACCTAATATAAGTCATTTCATTTAATGTAACTTTGGAGGTAAATCAGAAATTAAATACTTCAAAACTTATTAAATTGAGTAACATTATTAAATGAGTAAATTGTTAAAATTATCAAAACGCTAATAAAATTGTGAAATATTTGAAAGTAGTTCACATACAGTAAATGTCTTCCCAGGAAAGAAATTCACAGACACACACACATCGTAATCAAAGGTCTATAATTCATTTAGTTTAAACACTTTCTTTTAGTGTCTCTATATGTCACAAAACCAGTTACCCAATTATCACCTGGAATTATTTAAGCTTATAATCAGATTATCCTAAAGCTTTAGTGCTTACATTACAAAGAAATGTGGATTTAAATTATATGCAGACGAGACCATTAAGTGTATATTGTTTGGTATTCGGAAATTAATTCTTTTTATCCCCTTGCTTTAAACAAAATGACAGATTTGAAGATTCTGTGGGTCTTCACATGGTATCTCATTGTACCACAAGAAAAATCAAAAGTGATTCACTAAAATCAGTTAAAAATTTTGGTAAGTTAATCTTTCTTAGCTTTTAGGATTAAACGGATTTGGTTATCTTAAGGATTTTCATTATTCCTAGTTAAATAATTTTACTTCTTTCATAGACCACCCTTGTACTTGAAATAAATGTATAGAATTTTGCATTGTCATTAACCATGGAAGTTAATTGTAATTCCAAAATATATTTTCAAGGTACATGACTCAGTGGAAAAGTATTCTCTCAGTTTTGCTGTTCATTGAGCAATTAATTTTATCTGATTCTTCAGGCAATTATATTCTGTATTTAACACTTCTGTTTTGGAAAGATTACTTTTTGTAATGTTATGGAAAGTAACTGGCAACAGTTAAATGTTTTGAATTAGTCAGAGAAATGATGAATAACTTGTTTATTGCATCTTTTTTTCCAGCTCTAATTCTTAAAATATTGTCCATGATTTATAAATTAGTGCAGAGCAACACTTATGCAACCAAAAGGTAAGTATACTTTCTGGTAAATTATTTTTTAAAATGCAATGTGAGACTTAAATTGACTTTCATTATATGTTTTGAAAAGTTACGTCAAACTAGAGTATAGGTAATAGATTACTTTGTTTATATGTGTGTTTCATCCAGTTAAAGCTTTCTTTAATGCTCCAATCCTTGTTATATTCAAAGAGAATATGGTTAATTAAAAAATGTTTTCAAAATTTCTATAGAGACATATATTACACTGACAGCCAGCTCTTTGGTAACCAGACTGTTGTGGACAGCATCATCAATGACATTTCCTGTATGTTAAAAGTGCCGAGGAGGTGTTTACATATAGTAAGTACCATTTAATACAAAACATCTTTTTTTAAAATATATTTTTATTGATTTCAGAGAAGAAGGGAGAGGGAGAGAGACAAAAAAACATCAATGATGAGAGAGAAGCATTGATTAGCTGCCTCCTGCATGCCCCCTACTGAGGATTGAGCCCCCAACCCAGGCATGTTCCCTGACCCAGAATCCAGCCATGACCTCCTGGTTCATAGGTTGACGCTCAACCACTGAGCCATACCAGCCGGACAAAGCATCTTATTTTAAGACAAAATGTTTGTATAAAAATTGTAATAAAAAATAAATGTGATCTGTGCCTTCTTTTGATAAATTTTGATACTGTATTTTTCTCACTATAAATTTAAATATCTAGTCTCAATGTTTTTCCTTGGATGAATGAACCAAAATAGATGAATTACCAAATGTTTTTCAATCCAGATACTCTGACATATTTTTCCTTTATCTCTTAAATTACAATCTGAGCTAAAAATACATATATTTTAGCAGGTGTACACGAGGAATGTGCATACTTTGAAGCATAAAATACAGTCATGAAAAAGTTTTCAAATATGTCTTTTTTTTTTTTTTTAGTTATCTACATCAAAGGGTTTAATTGCTGGCAATTTAGGGTATATAGAGGAAGATGGCACCAAAGTAAATTGTAGCTGTGCAACAGTAAGTATCCTTAATGTTTTCATATACTTTAACTCCCTTTCAGATCCCTAGTTTTAGAAATGTATTTTATTTCCTGCTTGTTATGTAATTTGGAGCTTAAGATTTTAAAATAAAACCAAAGGCCCTGGCTAGTGTTGCTCGCTTGGTGGTTAGAGTCTCAGCCCACAACACACCAAAGGTTCTAGGGTTTGATTCCAGTCAAGGGCACAGATTTGATCCCAGCCCTGGTTGGGGCACCTGCTGGAGGCAATCAATCCATGTGTCTGTTTCACATTGATGTTTCTCTCTCTTTCCCACTCGCTCCCTCCCTCTCCCTCTCCTTCTACCCCCTCCCCTCCTTCCCTCCCTCCCTTTTTTCTACTCTCTCTAAAAATCAATGGATAAAATATTCTTGGGTAAGGATTAACAAAACAAAAACAAAATAAAACTAAAGGGTGAATAGGTATATGAATAGGTATAGTTTTAAAATATGTCATTGAAATAAACGTACACATTTCTTTCAAAAAACGTACTGTTGTTTTCAGGTAGAGTGTGGCTTGACCCTTTTAGCATGGTTATTTAGGTAATCTTCATAAAGTTTTCTGGTTCTGAAATTAATTTATTTAAACCTAAACTATTTTGCTCGGCTCTGGTGCATACAAGGCCCGCAATACTAAACAAGCACAGCAGTTTGAAAGGGCCAGCTCACCAGTTTGGAAAGGAGGAAGCTGATGCCTATGAGAACCTGCGTAAGGAAGTCTTTCCTTCATCCATTTCTGCCCTTTAAGGCACATATCCCCAAAGTTTCCAAGAAATTCTGGAAAGTAGTTTGGGTCGTGTGTCTGTTTTCTTACTGAAGAATAAATCTGTTTCCTATTGTTTTCTTACTGAGATGTAAACTTCTGATGACAGATATATTTTTTAATGAAAATATTGGATTTTTGTGATAAATTTTAAAATGTAGTTATACTTTCTTTGTATCTAAAAAACTGTCTTGTTTTGTTAATGTAGGCTGTTGCTGTGCCATCTAATATTCAAGGAATTCGGAGTATCCTTTGAATGGGAAAACTATTTAAACTTCTAGAATGTTTATGCATTCGTTACTTTGGTAAATCAAGCTTTCTGATGTGTAACCAACAAGCTAGACCCTATAGTGGTCAAGATGAACACTCCATGGTCCCTTCTACAGGATTCTTTTAGGAACTCACCATTAGGAGGAGAGACAGACAACTATGTATATGAATAGATATGTTACATATTTCAAGGTAAAATAAAAATACTATACCTCTAGCTGCTGTTGAATTGATCTGTAGGCACCATTATTAGTTACTGGTTAAATGAAATACTCTTTCCTTAAATTTGCCTTAACTTCACAGATTTAATTACAAATGGGAAATTTCTACTAATTGTAGAAAAAGATGCAACATTTCAGCGACTGCTAGATGACAACTTTTGCAACAAAATGTCTCCATGCATCATGGTTACGGTATATTATATGACTTTACTACAATTCCAAGATTAGCATAGTACTTTGGTGATTGATAAGAGGGGTTTATGATGTCATCTATACAGCTTGGACAACATTCTCTTATCAGTATGATGCTACTTGACAAGGGCTACTTGTCTCAACTGTAATACAGTAACAGCGGAGCTTGGGGCAGGGTTGAATGGACAAGAGCTACTCCTCGTTTTCCTCATACAGGTTTGTGTACCAAGTGATTTCATCAAGTCAGTCAAAAGGAACCTGCTTTTTTAAAAAAGCTAAATGTTTAAAGAACACAGGAGACTACATTGAGTTAACACACAGGGAACTACCGACATCAGTTAGCAAAGGGTAGTAAACTTCCTGCTACAGGGTAATGTGGGAGGAGTTTGTAAAACTTGATGGATGATATGGGCTGGAGTAGGAAAGAAAGAGATTAGAATAAAGGAAGTTTGGGGTGTGGGTAGGTGGAATGATGACAGAATAACAAAATAGATCAGGTTCCCCTCTGCTGTCTGGCTTTCTCCTACTTTATAAAAACCTAGGTTTATAAAGGGAAAAAAAGCTCATCTATTCAAAATTATTCTGGCTTATTAGATTAACAATAATTGTGATGTTTGTGAGCTGTGTTTGTGGAAGCAAGGAGGAGAGCTGTCCTGGAGAGGAAGCAGGATGTCAGGCAGCTGTAGGGAGACTTGGGAGGCCTGGCCACACCCTAGGAGGCATCCTGACTTAGTGGCATCCAAACAGAAGGTTTGGGATTGGTGAGAAAGGAAATGATGAGGGTTCTTGTGGCAGCGTCATCAACTAGATCAGTGGTTCTCAACCTTCTGGCCCTTTAAATACAGTTCCTCATGTTGTGACCCAACCATAAAATTATTTTCGTTGCTACTTCATAACTGTAATGTTGCTACTGTTAAGAATCGTAATGTAAATATCTGATATGCAGAATGGTCTTAGGCGACCCCTGTGAAAGGGTCATTCGACCGCCAAAGGGGTCACGACCCACAGGTTGAGAACCACTGAACTAGATGGAGAGGGAGAGCTCTGGAGTCAGGGAGCCTGTCAGGAGGCCGTCAGGAGTAAGATATGGTTAAGGAGAAAGGACTGAAACAAAGGGCATTTCTAAGGCCAATTCCAAAGGACTTGGTGACCACAGGATAGAGGAATGAGTCAAGGTGACCCTTATGTGATGTATGGAAGCCCATTATCAATAGACAGCCACAGGACAAGTGGCAGGAAGGCTCAGTTCTTTGTGGAAGAAAAATTTTGAGTGTAGTTTTAGAAATAGGAGATGATAGGGAATCCTAGTGGTACCTAGTTGGAAGTGGAGATGGAAAATGCAGACTAGGACCTCATAAACAATAGAGGTTGTATTTAAACCCTGGGAGTGATCTCTTGCTAGGGGTGTTCTGTGGTGCACTCTTTGGCCCCGTCCCCTTCCCCTTTCACACCTCGCTGGGCTGACTGGAAGCCAATCCACTGCAGACAAAGAAAGCTGAAGTGGCCTGGGTCCCCGTTCACATCTGGTTCTACTGCTTAGGAGGTGCACGGAAAGCACGGCTCTGTCACATCTGGGTTGAAAAGATAATATAATAGCGGTTGTAGAGCTTACAAGGACTAGAATGTATGTGCCCAGGTAACACCCACAGGTGGACCCATAGTGGTTGCCTTTGAAGAGGGGAACTGAAATGGGCGGTCAGGCTAGGAAGGGGTCATTTTTCACTGGATGCCCTTTGGTACTCTTTGACTTCACCACCACACACCTATGTTATCTTTTCCCAAAGAAAAGAATAAAAATACGCTACTATCTACTAAGTGATCTACTGAGCACTTTACATAGAGTCCACTTTCGCTATTTGTCACATAGCAACTTGTAAAGTCTCTCAGCCACTCTGTGAAGTAGGTATTCTAGTCATCCCCATTTTAATATCAGGTCACTGGGATACAGGAGGGTATTCACCACAAGGGTATGGCTGGTTAAAACCAGGACTCGGATTCCGACAGTCCATCTCCACGTTGATATAGTGCAGCAACTCTGTGTGGCAGGCATGTTTACCCAGATTTTATAAATAAAGCCACAGCTCAATGAAACGTAAGAAACTGGCCCGATGTCACCCACCAATGAATGGCAGAGGGAATTCAAACTCAAAGCTGTCCAATGGGAAGCCCATCCTAATATCTCTCTACTTGCTTCCTTCTCTGACCCCTTTGGTTTCCTGCTTTTCTCTCTTAACACTATTGTAATGCTTAGTAAGCTACTTTCCTACAATATTTAATAACTTCATAATAATATTCCACCACTTAGGTTTATTAAATCCTAAAGTTTAGACAGGTTCTCTTCTAAGTGCTTTATAGTTGCTAAATTTCTATAACCTTGTAAGGTGTTACAGAGCCCTAAGCCGCAGAGGTTTGAGGACTTATTCAGGTTCATACTACAAAGTGGCAGAGCCGAGATGCCAGCCCAGGCTGCTGGCCCCGCACCTGGTACATATATCACCACTGTGCAATGCTGCCTCTCCATGTCCCTGTTGTTAGATATTTTGGGTATTTATAGTATTTTTGTCATTTTAAATTACACTGCAGTGAACACCATCAGGTATGCAGAATTTTCATTATTCCTGTTTCTACTGAAATATTTCCCAGGACTGGAGTAACTGAATCAAAGGTATGAATGTAGATGGGCTTTTTCACCCTGTTGTACATATTGTGCATTTTTCACAGTCAACACTAGTCTTCCACCATCTGAAATTTAAGGTGAGGAATCTAACTTTTACATGATTGGTAAGATAAGGATATTGTTTTATAGATTTCATTCGACTGTAATTAAAATGCATAATTTTTATCTTGCTTTTAGGGGAAGGGAGTGCCTGATCTGAACACCAGACTTTTAGTCAAGAAGCTGTGGGACACATTTCACATCCCCATCTTCACTCTTGTAGATGCTGATCCACACGGTGATTTATCGTTTATATTTGAAACAGAATTAAATCATTTCTAGTTTTGTGTTGTTTTGCTTTTAGAACACTTCCATAAATATTTTTAAAGAATATGATCATTAGGTTAAACTTAATGACTGTTATCATTTGAGGTGATGTATTGCTATTTTAGCCATATTAAACTGAACAATAAATTCTTCTTTGGTAATGTCCACAAAAATAAAATTTTCAGATGTTAGACATAATTTGAGAGTGCAAATTATCTAACCTATAATAGACAAGAAGTCTAATTTTAAAGTTAACTCTCTTTTAACAGGCATAGAAATAATGTGCATTTATAAGTACGGATCTATGGTAAGTAGAGAAAAGTTGCTGTTTTATTTTCACTATTAAGGTATTTTATATTCATCGGGGTTATTTCTGCATTTACTTATCAGCCCTAGTAAGTGGCGGTCCCTCACTAGTTTCCAGGGGAGCTACTGTCCTGGTCTAGGGCCAGTCTGTTTCTGTGGCTGTGATTCCAGCTTCCAGCATGACCAGTGCAACCACAGATGACAGAGTGTGATTAGCTGTGGACAGGAGGCATTACTATCCACTCTCCTGGCTGCTGAAGTAACCTTGGGCCTCAGGGTAACATTGTCTGATCGCAAAAAATACTCTCAACATTATATGTAGCCTTGAATTCTGACCTGGCCAATTCCCTTTCCCCCACCATACGGACCAATTTCACCACTAGAGTCTGCAACTATCATACACCAGTGGTTTTCAAATTGTGGCCCTGGACCACACTAGTGAATCATCAGTGTCATTTGGGAACTTGTTAGAAATGCAAATCTCAGCCCCTCTCCAGACCTACTGAATCCGTGTCTCTGGGGGTGGCCCCTCCAAGTGGTTCTGATGCATAGTCAAGTTTGGGAGCAACTGGGGTACTCCGTGAGTGTCGTGTCCCTGACGTCTATGTCTAGAGCAGATGAAAAGGATGTGGGAGCAAGGTGTTGAGATATGAAATCAGAGTAATACAGTAATAAGTGCAGGTCAGGGGGATCCCTTTGTAGCTTTACTTTATAGAAAATCAATCCAGAAATACTACAAAGCAGTTTGGAACTCTTCAGCGAAGCTTCGGTGGTTTTCTCACTTCTGCGGGCTCTGAGGAGTGAAGCCTTTAGTATTTGTTATTGCTAAGTAAAAAATTTGGCTGCAAAAACGAGTATGCTAGTTCTCTGAAATTTAGCTTTACCTAATGCACTTTTGCTCTTTATTTTAGTCTATGTCTTTTGAAGCACATAATCTCACAGTCCCAGCTATTAGATGGCTTGGTCTCCTCCCTTCAGATATTAAAAGGTTAGATGGGTTAGTAAAACTGGGATCTTTAAAATAATGACTCATTGTAATATGTCACAATAAGCATCAAAAGTCACACTACAAGGGAAAAGTCCTTAATGCCTTTTATTTACATTGTTCACTGTGACTAAGTACTATATAATTATGAATTAAATTCATCAGTGTTTCTGTTTCAACAACTAAACTGCCTAAATGAATTTGGTTAATTGAACCTTCAGCTAGCTAGAAAACATTTTTTGTTTTGCCTTTACTATTAAAATATTTTGAAATTTATTATACTTGGAAAGCTTAAGACATTGAATCTGGTTAAATAGTCATCACTGACAACATCATTTGACATGAATCAGTTTTATCATAGATTTAAATTTTTAATGTCATAAAATATTTCAATTTTAGAATTCATACAGTTTGAGAACCTCGTTTATCATGTCTAATATATACATTCATTATAGAAAAAATATTCACTAACAAGATAAAAATCACCTACAAGTGAACAGCTTTACCCTTGTAGATTATTTTCTGTGCATAATTATAGCTTTTCACAAAAATGGACTCATACTCTAATATTATCTTGTAATCTCCTTTTCTCACACAACATGCTAAGATCACTTTTCCCTATCAATAAATACATTTCTCTTCTCCAGCCTCAGTTTAATGTCTTATATTACTGAGTTCACATTCTAGATGTGCTTGCTCAGCCAATCCCTCAAAGTCAGAGGTTTGGGTTGTTTCCAAATCTCTTCTGATAGCGCTTTGATGGACCCTCTTGTAACTGAATCTTTGCCTCCAGCTTTAATGAGTCCCATAGGCTGAATTCCCAGGAAGGCTGGGTCAAAGGGTATGCACACTTTCCAGGCTTTGACTGCCCTCGGGATGGGTTAATGATTTTGCTTTCCCTGGAGAGTAAAAACCCACCTGTCCCTCAGCATAAGACAATCACTTATTCATTTCTGCTAGTGAGATATTTTAAAATATTTAATTGTTACTATAATTGGCCAGTGAGAATGAACTTTAACATGTGGATTGGATTTCCTTAAACAGTGAGTGAACTTTGGTAATGGGCACTTGTTTTCTAAATATGGAATATGAACAGGTTTTGGGTGATTGCCACTTGTTATAAAACAAGGGCACAAGAGAAAACATTTAATTTTTGATCTTTGAATATTTACACTCTAGTGAATCAAAGTTCTGTTCAGTTTAGTGTAATATGTCATGGTCCAAATCCCTTAGGAAGGAGATGTATTTGTATGGATGTTATTTCTAACACAAATTTAGGACAAATGATCTGATAAGTATTAAGGTGGAGTGCTTGGAGAAAAACTTGCTGTGACTCATAATTCCTTTAGTGCCGTCAAAAGTCACTCCAAGTAAATGTACAATCAGAGATAAAAACAGTGTAGTAGCTACACAAACATGGCTTCAAGGGAAATCCTCTAGGCCTTCTTTCAATCAAATTGTCACCCTTTCCATGAGCTGCCACTGGCAAGTGGTCATAATTATGGGGACATTGAAAAAGACTGGAGCTCTCCCAGGAAATCCAGGATTTATGACTTCAAAAGTAGTCCACACCGTAAATCCAGACCTCTCATGGTCTATTTTTTAAACACATAGCAAGATAAAATTGTATTTTACTTTTTTTAATTTAAAACTAGGTAGGTGTGCGTGTTTGTGTGTGCATACATTGCACATAAGTGAAAAATGATTAACTTCCATGGACCAGAAAATTCTCAGTGATTACAAAGAATCAAGTACTCAGTAGAAACTAAAATCCCACAGTGAATCTCACTGTGGCACACATATTACACCTCACTGCTCAAAACTGTGGAGCTCTGGAGCTGCCTTGGTGTGCATATATGTGATGTTAGTGCTATCATCATTTCTTGTTTGTTTTAATATTTTTATTTATTTTAGAGAGAAAGGGAGAGAAAGATAAAAACATCAATGATGAGAGAGAATCATTGATCGGCTGCCTCTTGCATGCCCCACACTGGGGACCTAGCCTGCAACCAGGCACGTGCCCTGACCAGAAATTGAACTGTGACCTCCTGGTTCACAGGTTGACACTCAACCACTGAGCCACCACAGCCAGGCTGTTTGTTTTTTTGTTCCTCACCTGATGAGGATATTTTTTCCACTGATTTTTTTAGAGTGGAAGGGAATGGGGGGGGAAACAAACAAAAAACAAAAAAAAAGAAAGAAAGAAAGAAAGAAAGAAAGAAAGAAAGAAAGAAAGAGAGAAAGAGAAAGAAAGAAACATCAGTGTGTCTGAGAGACACATCCATTGATTGCCTCCCACATGCACCCTTACTGGAACCAGGGATCAAACCTGCAACCCAATTATGTGCCCTGGACTGGCAATCTAACCCTCAACCCTTCAGTGCTCGGGCCATGCTCTAACCACTGAGACCATACCACCCAGGGCATCATTTGTTTTATAACCAATGTTTGTCTTCCTATCATCCTGTGAGTATGGCATGAAGAAAACCAACAACTTAGAACAGACTTCCACTGTGAACTTGATCACTTCTTGGTGTAGGACATGCCAGAACCCCAAAATTCCGGACTTAAAGGGTGTATCTGTATTAATTTTCTTATCCATAATTTCTGAATTTTTTGGAATTGTACAGTAAATATGAATGAAACATGACCTTCAAGTGATAGGAATACTATTTTTTACTAATTTTTTTCATCTGTTTTTTTCTAGGTTAAATATACCTAAAGATACTTTAATTCCATTGACAAAACGGGACCAAATGAAACTTGACAGTATCCTGAAGAGACCTTATGTTACTTGCCAACCATTTTGGAGAAAAGAAGTATGTTGTTGTTGTTTTTAAATTCGAGTGCTTTATGTTTGATTGCCTTTTACTATAGTAGCAGTCATTCACACAATATTTTGAAAACATCCTCCTTGAAATCTATGTAACCAACAACTAAGGTGGGTATTGTTTGATAATACATGATTGTTGAAACATCAAATCATGGATGCTAATAGATAAGATCACCTGGGTGGAGCTGGTCTATTTTTATCCTCATCATAGTTATGTACCCATTGTCTATGGCTGTATCATAGTTTATGAAAGGAAAAAAGAAGAGAAAGTAGTTAGAAAGACGCCAGACTTTTCCTGGTTATTGAAGGCATCCATACTGGTTAATCCCTTCATATTATTAGTTGTTGCAGCTCTAGAATATTCTGGCTGACTCTAAAGACTATTGTCCATGGTTTTGGAGAATAAAACAAGTCTAGATTTACCACTTTGTTGAGTTGCCAGAACTGTAGCAAAGAACTCTGGTATGACTATATTTTACTTTTATTGACAGATGGAAATAATGGCAGACTCTAAAATGAAGGCAGAAATTCAAGCTTTGACCTTCCTATCATCAGATTATCTTTCCAGAGTATACTTACCTAACAAATTAAAATTTGGAGGGTGGATATAAAAATGTATCAGAATATATCTTACAATTTCAAGAGGATTCTAAGTTTTTTTCAGTAGAATACTGTTGTGGGAAAAAAACATTATTTTTCTTTTTTAAAAAAATCTTTATTGTTTGAGAGTATTACAGATGTCCCTTTTTTCCCCCCATTACCCCCCTCCACCAGGTTCCCACCCCGCCCCAAGCCTTCACCACTCTATTGTCTGTGTCCATAGGTAATGCATATATGCAGATAAGTTCTTTGGTTATGCTCTTCCTACACCCCCTTCCTTCTGAGATTCGTCAGTCTGTTCCATGTTTCCATGCTTCTGATTCTATTTTACTCACAGTTTACCTTGTTCTCTCTCTTCTCCTTCTGGCACCCCCATAATACGAGATATTTTGTTCATTAGATGTTTTGTTCATTTATTTTGATTTTTAGATTCAATTGTTGATAGATATGTATTCATTGCCATTTTATTGTTCATATTTTTCCTCCTCCTCCTCCTCCTCCTCCTCCTCCTCCTTCTCCTTCTCCTTCCCTCTTCCTCTTCCTCCTCCACCTCTTCTTCCTCCTCCTCCTTTCTCCTTCTCCTCCTCCTTCTCATATAATACTGGTTTGGTGGTAATAAACTCCTCTAGCTTTTTCTTGTCTGTGAAGCTCTTTATCTGACCTTCAATTCTAATTGATAGCTTTGCTGGGTAGAATAATCTTGGTTGTAGGTCCTTGCTGTTCATTACTTTGAATATTTCTTGCCACTCCCTTCTGGCCTGCAAAGTTTCTGTTGAGAAATCAGCTGATGGTCATATGGGCACTCCTTTGTAGGTAACTAACTGCTTTTCTCTTGCTGCTTTTAAGATTCTCTCTTTGTCTTTAACCCTTTGCATTTTAATTATGATGTGTCTTGGTGTGGACCTCTTTTGGGTTCCTTTTGTTTGGGACTCTGCAATTCCTGGACTTGTAAATCTATTTCTTTCACCAGGTAGGGGAAGTTTTCTGTCATTATTTCTTCAAATAGGTTTTCAATATCTTGTTCTCTCTCTTCTCCTTCTGGCACCCCCATAATGTGAGTGTTGGTACACTTGAAGTTGTCCCAGAGGCTCCTTACACTTTCTTCATATTTTTGGATTCTTTTTTCTTTTTGCTCTTCTGATTGGGTGTTTTTTGCTTCCTCATATTTCAAATTATTGATTTTATTCTTGAAATCCTCTACTCTTGAATCCCTGTAAATTATTCTTTATTTCAGTTAGTGAATGCTTAATTTCTGATTGGTTCTTTTTCATGTCTTTGACATTCTCACTAAGATCCTTGAAAGTCTCACTAAGTCCCTTGAAGCTCTCATGAAAATCCTTGAGTAACTTTATAACTGTGGTTTTGAACTCTGTATCTAGTAGTTTGCTTTCTTCCATTTCTTTCATTTGTGACGTTTCTTTGTGTCTGCATTTTGGCTGCTTCCCTGTGTTTGTTTTAGCAAAGTCTGAAGCCTACGCCAGGACAGGCCATTCATATGGAAAAGCTGCTGCAAATAGCTTGGGTGGGGCTGCAAATTGGATGGGATGGGGTCTCAGGGAATCACCAGAGTGGAGCAAACAGTATGAGCCAGGCTGATGGAGACTCAGATATGCCTGCCAGTCAGCCCTATAACAAGGGAGGTTCTAGCATAGGAACGATAGCCCTGTGAGCACCCTTGTCTGGGAGAAAGCCACCCCTGAGGTTCTGCAACAATGCCAAACAGTCCAGTTCCTCCCCATATGTGTCTGGGTCCCCCAACGCCTCCTGGCACTGGAGCTCAGAGAGATTGAGTCCAAGTAAGTTTGTGCATTTGCCCTTTAAGAGGGACACCTGGTCTCCATAGCCTGCATGTCACACAGCCACAAGCCCCACTGGTTTATACATCCTGAAGTTACGTGACTTTTCTTCCCAGCTTTGGGATCCTGGGTTGGGGGTCTGGTGTGAGGCTGGGACCCCTTGCTCCTCACTGGCAACCTCCACAGGGATGATTTCCCTCCCAATTTAAAAAACAGCACACATGGGTGTCAGACCAGCCCGTTCCACGCTTCTGCCCCTCCTACCAATCTCAATGTGTGTTTTTCTTTACTTCTCTAGTTGTAGGACTTCCATTCAACCAGCTTCCAGGTGGTTCTGAATGATAGTTGTTCCTTATTTTAGTTGTAATTTTGATGTGATTGGGGAGGTAATGAGTTCCTGCACTTACCAATGCCACCATCTTATTTCTCCAAAAAACATATATTCTTAATTTCATAGATGTAAAATAATTTTTCATTTATATATTTTTTGTTGAATTGTATATTCAACAAATGCTATATTCTAATTTTCTTTAGAAGGCTTCATCTTACCTTTTTCTATAGAGACTTATTTCTATCCTATGTTCTAAATTATAAAAAAAAACATGTTATTTTGATTTTTAAATTTTATTTGAAAAAATATGTTATACATGTAATCAAAGTGTACAAAAATATTTTATTTGTCCGGCTGCTTGGTGGTTGAGTGTCGACCTATGAACCAGGAGGTCACAGTTCAATTCTCAATCGAGGCACATGCCCGGGTTGTGGGCTCGATCCCCAGTGTGAGACATGCAGGATGTTTCTGTCTCTCCCTCTCCCTTCCTCTCTGGAATCAATAAAGATATATTTTAAAATATATATTTGATTTACTGTCTACAATACAACTAATGTTAAAACAAAGTATTTTATTAGCAACAAAAATTAATAATAACCTAAATTTGAGAGGGTTTTACAGCAGTTTCTTCTTAGTTACATTTCCCTTCGTTTTCATAGTTTAGGGGTCAGACCTCATTCATCCACTTGTGAAATTAGTACAATTTATTGTGAATAAATATTTGGGTGTGTGTAGTCTTCAGTGCTTTATTTTGTTTTTGAGCATACTTTTTATTAATAATATATATTTTTTAAATGTTCTCAAGGGTTTATCAATTCTCACCCAAGTTCAAGTCAGCTAAATTCTCTACTCGAAGTTTATAGAACAAAAACTTCTCCAGTTTTAATATTTACAGAAGTCTCAAATTTTAATAAGGCCCTTCTGTAACAGTCAAGATGTGATCTTTCACCCTTGTAAACCTATCTTAATTTTTCTAGATGAATTTTATGATTTTATTCTGTACTTTCAATAAACTGTTAACTGCACTGAGAAGTTTCTTGTAATTGTGAGCAAGAATATGTATTTATAGAAGTACAGAAATGTTGGGCTGTTTATTTTACCAAGGTGAATACTATCTAATAATAGACAAACATGGTAATTGACTGTACCTTTGCTACGCCTCCCATTGGCTAATCAGCATGATATGCAAATTAACCCAACCAAGATGGGGGCCAGCAGCCACGCAGCTGAAGCAAGCAGGAGGCTTGCTTGCTCCAGTGATGGAGGAAGCCAAGGTTCCCC